AGTCATGTGACTGTTCTTGCACATTCTAGTCACATGCACAGCAGCTGTAGACATCCAGCACACTCATCGTACAGACTTGCACACCAGAAGTCGGGTGACGTCGCGCACGATGTCATCGGCAGTGCGCGAGATCTGATGCAGAACATGGCAATGGCGTTCCGTACTGTTCGGGTCCATGCCAAATATTATGCCGGCATGGCCACTCTCGACCAGAAAATAGAGAAGCGGTAAGCTTGCAAACTCCAAGAACACCTCCGTCTACAACAGCTCGCCCCCAACAATACGACCAAGTAGCAACGGACACATCCCAGGGCCCATATTACATTGAAGCGGTAGACTCGAAGATCGCGAACGTCACGCCCTGGTCCTGCTCCATGACTGATGATGGCACCATGCCGGATTTTGTCCATGTGCAGTCGTCAACGGCACCAGCTAATATTGAACAAGCCCAAGATTCGCTGTATGCTGATCTGGAGACAACTGAACATGCCAGTGCTGAAGCGCAGGAACGTCACTACATGTTATTATCCACGTATACACAAACACATCCCAACCATTACCAAGGCCTTGGTCCCCATAACAACGACCTCCAAAGAGGGGAAATCCCTGGTAACACCACGCCTGATGGTGAGTCGTTGGTTATCTGCAATACTGCCCACTGACTAGAATACAGCACTGCGTCTGCTCCCGTCACACGCGCTATTTACACTTCTCTAATAGGGAATGGATGCGTGGACGCTGTTCCTGAAGCTTTACCACATAGCCAATTCTAACGAACCCAGTCACCTCAGATCCTAACAAAACGAATATCAACGCCCAGGGCAGAAAATTCACAAAGCATATACTAGTAACCCCCGCCACTCCTCACTGACATGCCTCTGTTCTCCTTCTTTGAGCGTTGCGCTTATTCTTATTTTGTGTTTCTGTTTCCGTATATTTCGTATTTCAAGGCATACCCCGAGGCTATAGGTATTATTGGGTAAAGGACCATTCTGGAACATTCAGCATAATTGTATTTCTCTAGCTAGGCTGTTCAATATGAATCATTAGCCCTCCACTGTCTGCTATCTCAACCCTACAGCCTCCCATTATAATGGAACTCCCTTCAATTTAGACTACGTCTTTGGGAAATCCTCAAATATATATAATAATATAATAACCCCTGCGGATAAGCGACCAACGAGGCTATTGATTCCAAAGTAGATGACGTATGATTATCACGGACACCAGTGCCTATGCAAAACACTTCATTTTTCTTGACTTGACTCATAGCTGTTCTGCCAATGATTCTCTGGTGGTTAGGACGACTGAGGGAGATCAATTTGTCGATTGGATCCCACACGTTTCTTTAGGCGTACGGATGTGCCTTCCCGTTACACCGATCCACGCCTCTGTAACAGCTTATAATTATTATAGCGTCTCTTAGTATTTCTGGTGAGAGTTGTATTGTAGTTTTGATTGGAGTGATATCTGATATCTCTGCTGACTGTGTAGTCTACATAATTAGGGCAGCCAGCTTGCACCGCCAGCACAGTAGGGTGGCGAACACATTTCTGCCGTAAACAAGCCATGTGGCATTTTAAGACCAATGGTAGATAGCACTGCGCTATGTTTTTTTTCAATTTGGCGACTCTTGCAGTGACTTCAAACCTGTCTTCAATCGTGTGCATGGCACATTATACACAATTGTGCCATTGTTCAATACAATTAATGCAAAGGCTCAAATTTTAGATTATGATACTCTCCTTACTTTTGAATTGTTTGCAGGCAACCTGCCTACACTCAAGAGAGCACTGCATTTCACACAAATCCATTGGTATGGTTAAAACGTTTCGGTCTTTATGACCATCATCAGGAATGAAGTGGACATGGAAAGAACAGCAGTATAAAAGAAGGAGGCAAGCAAGCAAAGCGCGGTACATAGTGACAGCGCGCGTAGAGAAGTGCAAAGCACGTCATGGCGGGTGTGCATTACTACATATACATGACAACACAAGCACAAACGGCGAGGAAAGTAGATACTGCGCTACAGCAGTGATAACAGCCCAGTTCCAGTCTCACACCACCAGTGAGGTGTGTAGAGCCCCGCGCCACTCGCAGTAAGGTGGTGTTATAGCAGATCCCAGCCACTGTTGTTGTTAATTTCCGGGGATCGCTCCCTGATGTTGATGGCCTCCCGGATCCTCCTGGGGCGGTCACGCTCAGAACCCAGAACCCGGATACCCGAGAAAGCCGTTGCTCCCAATGGCAGTGGGTCAGATGCATGCTTGGCCGCGAAATGCTCACCCAGCGCGGTGCCGCTCACTGTGTTGCGTGCGTCGTCGTTGTGTTCTTTTGTCCTGGAGGCGAGGCTGCGGTACGTCTCTCCGACATATTTATCACTACATTTGCACTCGAGGTGGTATACGACGTTTCGCTCTGTGCATGCTTCTGAACCGGACATGCAGGCGACACAAGCAGCTTTGGGCCGCCCCCGTGTACGGGGCTTGGACGGGTCTACATACCTGCCGCATGGTGGTTTGCGGAGGGCAGACGTGCAAATCATAGAACTTAGACGGCGGTTCCTGTAAATCAGCTGGGCATTTATCTTGTACTTCCGGAGTAATTTATGAATTTTGTTGTGGATATACTCGGTGTGAAACGGTAGGTTGAGGGTGACACGGTATTCATTCTCCACTCTGCCACGTCGGGGGCGCATAGCTCGTTCACGTGCCGAAACTATAACCGACTCTGGGAAGTTGTTGAATTTTAGGATGTTGGTTACTTTTCTTCACTTCTTTTTAGGGTGTCAGCATCGGAAGATAGACGGACGGCACGCAGGAACTCAGAGGAAGCAATTGCTTTCTTTTGCTGGTTGGGAACTGACGAGTTGTAGTCTGATACCAGT